CAGCTCAGGGACCTTTGCCCACCCATCGCATCCTTGCAGCACCCATGGGGTGATGGTTCTGGCTGGGCTGTGTCCGGCTGGGTCACTATTAGTGGGTCTCTGTGAAGACAAGTGCATGGGGACATAGGCCAGTGACACAAGAGGACGTGATACAGTACCTCACACACTGCCCTGTGCTCCTAAACAGCAAATCCCCTTTGGAGGTGGATGGGGGCAGCAGGGGGTAGCATCACGGCATCACCTCAGCTCCCCCTGCTTGGGTACCAGGTGAGATGAGGCACCAGGGCCCATGGGGTGGTGCAGGATGAGGCAGCCAGCAGGGATCTGGGCATGTCCTGCCCCATGCAGGGGGGTGCCCACTCTTGGGGTGGGGGTCATCACCCCAAAACCCCACTCCACAACCTTCCCGATGCTCAGACCATCACACGCTGGTGCCCAGGGGAGCGGTGGGGCTGGGGAATGGGACTCGGATCCTTTTTATCTCTCCAAGTTCAGATGAGGAGCCCAGAGCCCGGCTGGGAGAGGGTCCCGGGGGTGAGGCTGGCTCCAGGGGGGCTGAATGGGGAGACTGTGCTGTAATTACATACAATTAAGATGAAGTTCTCTCCCTTTTCTCTGCCCATCTCCCCTGAGTTGCAGAAAAGCCCCTCTGGAGAAGCAGCCGCTGTTCCTTCCTCTGCAGAGCACCTGGTTCTGCCTGCACCAGCATCCCAGTCCATGGACCATGCACCATGGAGGACGTGCTGTGGAGCGTGTGCCATGGAGAACATCAGTGCCCACTGCATCAGACAAATGCCATCACACAGGTACCCCAACAGCAGGACCACCACCAGCATCACCAGCTCCCCCCAGCACTCACATGGGCATGCAGGGAGGAGGCAGGAAGGGAGCATCCCTTGGCGTCTCCAAACACCACAGCCCTTCAAGCCACCGTGTCCCTGCCAAGTGTCCCCTTTGGAGCCGGGGGGTTATTGCTGCTGTTTGGTGGCTGCAGTCTGCAGGCAGGAGCCCAGAGCTGCCTGCTTTGGGAAGGGAACGCACCCAGAAATGGGCTCTGTTCCTGCATTGCTGCTGGGATCACTGGTGCTGCCATGTGGGATGCTGAGAGCGGAGCAATTCATTACAGGGGTGGCCAGAGACAGGGCATGGGCTGCGAATGGGGACCCCAGCACCTCCTGCTCTGCACCCTTGCCTGGTTGTTACCCCTTTGGTTATTGCTCCCATGCGAGGAGGGATGCTGAGCAGATGGGACTCGGATGTTACCTGGCTTTGCTGCAGCATCACCCCAGCACATTAAACCCCTGAACCAGCAGCAGTGCAAGAGCCGCTCCCCAGGAGATGCTGATCCTGGCTCCCGTGGGGCAGGATCCGACCCAGCCCTAATTAAAAGGAACATACATTCAAGTGCTTCAAACAGCCCCTGATGCCTGTGGGAAACTTCCCACCGCATTTATCCCCCTTTTCCCTGCCCCGGCCACGCTGCGATGCCCCCCATGAACTGAACCCCCACCCGCCCTCTGTGTCCCCCATCCCCAAATTTCCTCCTCCCTTTCCAATGTGTTTCCAAGAAAAGCTCTGTTGTTTCTTGGGATCTCATCTCCCTCCGCTCCTGTCCCCACCTCGAGCCTGCGCCTGCCTTTGTCCTCAGCAGATAAAGAACAAAAGGGGAAGAGATGGAGAAAATATCATCTCGCCTCCAAATGGGCTTTTCTTCTCTCTCCCCCCTTCCCCTCAAGTCACCCGTGGAGCTTCGGATGCTCTTTAAGAGCCGTGCTGATGAATGCGAGGGCATGGGAGCTGCCATTAGGAGTGAATTGATCGGCGCTCGGCAGCAGCGCTGCCAGGGCCCTTTGCTTTGAGATTGGAGAAGGGAAGAATGAGAGTGAAGGGGGGGGAGAAAGAAAATACAGAGTGATTGGGAAGAGGTTCCTGTCCCTGTTAATAATGAACGCATCCAGCGGCTGCAGCCGCGCTCGGAGCAGGCGATCGCCATGCAGGGCCTCGCTCCTCTGCGCCAGAGGGAGAGCCTCCAGGAAACGAGGGGAACATCCATTTCTGCTGCAGTTTGTTCCTTGGATGGGGGAATCTCCCTGGGAATGGGTCCTTCCGTGCCAGCTCCCAGCTCGGCCACGTCACCTTCCCAAGGTTGGGAGGACCCAAACCCAATTCCACAAGGAGAACAAGGGATGGGTTGCGGTTGGGGTTGGGGCTGTGCAGCCTGGGGTTGTGCTGCTCCATGTGCATGTCTGCAGCACACGCGTGTCCACATGGATTGGGGATGCACTGCTTGGGCACACAGCACATGAGGTGAGTGCATGGCTCCGTGTTCCACGTCTCAGGCATGTTCGTCTCAGCTGTGCGCATCCCAAACGTGCACATCCCAGATGGGCACATCTCAACCATGCACATCTCGGGCATGCTTGGACACACATATCATGGCCCAAATTGGGGCTCAGAAGCTGTGGGGTGCAGCCACAACGTGGGGCTCCTGCAGGCAGCCCCCCAGGGACACTATGGACCTCTGTGGACACATCTCCTGTCATGCAAGTACCACATCGTGTCCCCAAGGATGGGCAATGCCTCCCATGCTCTAACCTGCGGGGTGCAGAAACCATGGGTAGCAGTGCTGCAGCATCATTAGGAGCAAATATCTGGGGGTGCTGCATGGGGGACCATGAGCAGGGGCAGTTGTGTCCCCAGGGAAGAGCAAGAGAAGGAAAGCACCAGCACTCTGGGTGGGCAGGGTGCTTCCAGGTGTCCAGCACATGCCAGAGGATGGGAAGGAGAGGAGATGCTCTGATTCCATCGAGGCGCGCTGTAGGTGAGGATGCAAAGCCAGGGATCCAGGCAGTGGGTACCAAATGCTGCTGCAGGGACATCCCTCTTGCTGTCCCAGGGCTGCAGCAAGCACTTGGTGGGCTGGGAGTGGTCCCATAGCTCGGAGCTCACCCTGATGCACACCCAAGCTGTGGTTCCCTTCCCTGTACCAGGAAAACCACTGAAGGACGGTGTCATCACGCACAATGAAACCAGGGCTGCTGCGGGGTGCACACACTGTGATGAGCCCCAGCTGTACCCCAGGGAGGTCACAGCAAGCAGTGCCAAGGGATGGAGCCAGCAGCAGATTATCCTCAGCGCTCCTTTAACGCCAGACCAGGCCTTTGAGGAAGGAAGAGAGAAAACCCACATCGGATTTTCACCGCTTGCTGGTTTTTCATCCATCCCCTGTTGTCTCCTGCCTCCCGCAGCCCCCGGAGCTGCTGCTGCTGATAAGGAGATAGCATCTAATCACTGCTGCTGCAAATAAACCCCTGTGCGAGCTGCCAGGGGGATGCCCCCCATGTCAACCCGCTCCCCATTGTCCCCAAGGGCCCTGGGGGGACATCACCCCAACAGGCTCAGTGGGGAGCACCAATGGGTCCTGGTGAGGTTTGGGGGTCCAGCATCCTGGTTCCCTTCCGTGTGTCTCCATCAACATCCACCTCGCTGGAGCATCCTCACGGAGGAAGAGGAGGAGGAGGAAAGCTCCTTTCCCAAATGGGGTACGGGGTTTATGATGCCCCCAAACCCTAGGGTTACACACAGCCGCAATCCTAGCCCTGCGCTTCCCAAGCACAACCGGAGAAGGGGTTTAATACCTAGAGCTGGTGTTCAGGGGGTGAATTAAGGCTGCTAATTGAATTTCATCAGGCAGCGGGGCCGGGCTGGTGGGAGGCAGGCAGGAAACGCGTTTGATGTGTTTTAAAAGCCGCAGTTTCGGAGCACAATGGGGTTTGGGGCTGGGTTTATTTGTTTTTTGCTTTAATTTAAAGCCGGTTGTAAAACGATCCCGTCTTTGAGGAGCAAATGATTCCCATGAATTATTTGCTGTTGATTTAGACACCCACCCAGCTTTTAAATAATGGTAATACAGTGAAAGGGAATCCGCTGCAGGGAGGAGCAGGAAGGATGCTGCTGGGGGGGGAGACAGGGATGTGGGATGTGACCAACACTCCCCATAGTGAGGCCACGCTGTACTTTGGGTTAAAAGCATCAGCATTCAGCATCGGTGCTGGAATGGGTGTTTTTCATGCTGGTTTGGTTTTATTATGACACCAAGGAGCCGGCGTCCCTCTCGGCTGTTGATTTACACTGGTGGTGGGTTAATTGTACGATTCAGCACGCCCTGAAACATGAAAAACTGCTCCGGTTCTGAAGCAATTAAAAGGCAGCCGGGTAGATCAGCCCCTTCCAATGAGATAAGTAAATCACACGATTAAATACTCATCGGGTGGCAAAGGGGAAGCAACCCACCCGGAACGCTTCACCCCTCTGTGTGAGCCCCACACATCCCACCCCAGCTGTGTCCCAGAGGTCTTAGTGGGATGCTGGCAGCACTATGGGATGCAGTGATGGGCACAGGGTGCCACAGCAGTCACCACCTCCGGTAATTCCCTCTTTGCACCCTAGGAATGCTGGACCAGGACAAGCCACGGCACTGCTCCCATCACCCATGGGGTCCAGCCCCTCCAAGCGATGACCCAAGCTAGGGAGTCCCTTCATGAATAGAGGGTCCCTGGATGCACTGATGGGCAGCCTCCTGTCCCCACCATCCCCATTGCACCCCATGATGCCATTTAAGCACCCAGAAACCAGCATCACCGAGGAGCACCCCAGCATCCCCATACACTGCTCCTTCCCCACATAGGCCTCAGTGGGGTGAGGACAGGATAAGAGGGATTGATGGGATGCAGGGACAGGATGGGGTCCCTCTCTCCCCTCCCAGATCTCCCGATGGTTATTGCAGCGGTTTAGGGTCGTTTGAGGGGGTTTGAGTGTGGCTGAAGCTCTCTCTTGTGGCAAAGCTGCTCCATTACACCCCTTCCCGAAACATCGAGCCCCAGCATCCCGAGACATCGAACCCCAGTATCTCTCGGGGGGGAAACCCCGGCGCAGGACCCCATTTCCTGCATCCTCCGGGAGAGATGCCGGGGCTCAGGAGGCTGGAGCATCCCGCCCTTCCAGCCGTGCACGGAGCGATGCGGGAGGCCAGAGGTGCCCGGTGCTCCCCGCACACCCTCCGTTGGCCATGGCGCGGGGCTGAGACCCCGCCAACTCATCACAGGCATCGCGCTCTCCACCGCGATCGCGACTCGGATCCTTTTTGTCCCTCGGCCCGAGCCGTAGCGGCGCTCCAAGGGGGCGGGTTTAAGCCTTGTATGCGGAAGCGGGAGCTCACTTCCGGTTTGTGCGCTGAGGTGGGAGCTGTGAGTATGGTGCCGGGAGGGGGCGATGCGGGATCCGCCGCCATCCGCGGCTGTGCGGGAGCGTGCGGCTCCGCGGCGGGCTCGGGGAGCGGAGGGGACGCGGGCGGAGCCGGGGATGGCCGATGGGCGGCAGGCGGGCGCGGTGGCGCCGGCGGCGGGGGGTCGGTGGGGCTGACGCCATCTTGGGTTGTGTCTCGCAGGTTGGAGCGCTCCGAACCCGGCCCGAACCATGGTGAGGAGGGAGCGGGTCGGGGGGGGGACGGGGGACCTATCCTGCCCGGCCCCTGCGGTGCCGCGGGAGGCAGCGCAGCCCCCGCGGTGTGTTACTGCTGCCACGGCCCTGTCGAAGATCACACCTGGCTGCAGGGAGCAGGGACCCCGCAGGCCCGGGGGTGGTTGCTGTGGGAGCGGGGTCTCACAGCGGCCGCAGTGAGCTGCGGGGGGGCCTTGGGGTGCTCGGTGTGTGCTGAGGCGCTGCTTTGCTTCCCAGCCCCGCAAGATTGAGGAGATCAAAGACTTCCTGCTGACAGCCCGGAGGAAGGACGCCAAATGTGAGTGTTGGGGGGTGAGGGGGGACCCGAGCGGCCCCATGGAGCCTCTGGGCTCGGCAGCATTGGGATTTAAAGCAGTTTTGCTCAGGGTTGACCTGTGAGTGAAGCCACCCTGGGCAGGGGATGCTGTGGGTGCAGGACTTGGGTTCTCCAGCGGTGGCTGCTGCTGTGCCCCCGGGGGTGCAGCCCAGCCCCGGCTTGGAAGCTCCTTGCACATCAGCCCATCCCTGGTGCTCTGTAGCCTTCAGATCGCTGCAGGGCGTCAGGCGCTGGCAGGGCTGTCACGGGGACAAGGGAATCCAGGCCAAACTTGTGTCTCCTTCCATTGCACATACAAAGGTGGTGATGATTGAAGCCCTGGCAGCTCCTCGGCGCAGTATTTAGCCATGTGTGAGGAGTTTTCTCTTGCTTACTTGGATGCAGCTGTCCCAGGGAAGAGGTGTTTTCCCACTGGAAGCCTTTTGTTAACCCCCTGGTGTGGGTGAGAGGGAGAGTTTCGCATTGGAACAGTGAGGGAGCTGCTGGCAGCCCCTCACAAAGCATCCCTGGGCTGCTCCACTTGGATTTCCCAGCAGCTCCAGCCAAGTGGCTCAGATCAAATGGCTTTTGGGGAGCGCTGGGCATGGAGTTGGGGATCTGCAGTGTGTAAATGGGAGATACAATCACTTCTTCACGTTGTTTGTTGTAAAACCAGCCTCAAAATGAAGCTGTTGGCTCTGAGGAGCCTGGGGCTGAACCCCTGGACGCAGCATAGGCTGTTGGTGCAGCAAAATCCACTTAATTTGGGGGTTTCCAGTGCTGGGGTGGCTCCATGCTGAGCTGTTCCTGCCCCTGCAGCCGTCAAGATCAAGAAGAACAAGGACAATGTGAAGTTCAAGGTGCGCTGCAGCCGGTACCTCTACACCCTGGTCATCACAGATAAGGAGAAGGCCGAGAAGCTGAAGCAGTCGCTGCCCCCAGGTACCTCCTGGTGTTCCAGGGGGGCTCTGTCACACCGGGAGCCCCATCCTGGGATGTGTCCCTGCTCCAGGGTGTGGGGTTCTGTGTGAGTGGAGCCGTTTCTCACCAGCAGTTTCTCTCCTCTGCAGGTTTGGCCGTCAAGGAGCTGAAATGAGCCAATAAATGGGAGTTTTGCTGTTGTTTGTTACAATAAATAAACCTGACTGTTCCCCACTGGCGTGTGTCTGTGTGTCCCTGCAGCCCTGGCTGATGCTGCAGGGGTTCCTTTGGTGACCTGAGCCCCCAGCCCTGCTCTGGGGTTCAGGAATGCGGGGGGTGCTTCCTGGGGGATGTGGTGGGTCTGGGACAATATGGAACTACCCTATAGTTCGTGGACAGGGGGCCATGTCATTACAGCAGGGACAGGATGGGAGTGTGGTTCCCCTATAGCAGGGAGGTGATGAGGTGTGCTGTCTATATAGCGGGGCAGTGATGAGGTGTGAGGCCCTTATAGAAGGGAGGACGAGTGTGGTGCCCCTATAAAAAGGCAGTGGTGGGGTGCAGTGTCCCTATAGCAGGGTGGTGACAGGGAGAGGCTGCTTTAGCAGGGAGGGGATGGGATGTGGTTCCCTTTATAGGATGGTGACAAGGTGTGATGTGAGGTCCGTGCAGCAGGGATGGGGCATGGTGTGGTTCCCTTATGGCAGGGCAGTGATGGGGTGCAGCGCCCTTACGGAAGGGTGCTGACAAGGTGCGAGGCCCCTGTAGCAGGAGGGGTGGGGTCGGTGCCCCTATAGCAGGGCAGTGCCAGGATGCGAGGCCCCTATAGCAGGAGGGATGGGGATGGTGCCCCTATAGCAGGGCAGTGCCGGGATGCGAGGCCCCTATAGCAGGAGGGATGGGGTCGGTGCCCCTATAGCAGGGCAGTGCCGGGATGCGGGGCCCCTATAGCAGGAGGGATGGGGACGGTGCCCCTATAGCAGGGCAGTGCCGGGATGCGAGGCCCCTATAGCAGGAGGGATGGGGACGGTGCCCCTATAGCAGGGCAGTGCCGGGATGCGAGGCCCCTATAGCAGGAGGGATGGGGACGGTGCCCCTATAGCAGGGCAGTGCCGGGATGCGAGGCCCCTATAGGAGGGTCCGGGCGCGGGGCTCTCTACGCGGAGCACGATGCGGGGTGGGCGGGGCGAGGGGGGCGTGGCCCGGGGCGGGGGCGTGGCCTGGGCGGAGCCGCGCTGTTCGGTTCCCCCCTCCCCGCCATCGGCGGCGGCCCCGGCTCCGGCCCCGGCCCCGCGATGCCGCCCGCCCGCGCCGGGTACGTGGCTCCGTGGTGGGTGTCGTGGCTGCACCGCCTGCCCCACCGCGGGCTGCGCCTGCAGAGCGTGCCCGCCGCCTTCCGCCCGCGGGACGCCGACTACCAGCAGGTACCGACCCGCGGGGACGGAGCCGTGCGGGGCAGCGCTCCCGGTACCGGCCTTACCCCCCCCCCCCCTTCCCCATCCTTCCCTTTCCCCCGGAGCCAGCTCTGACCCCAGCACCGCACAAAGCGCGCTTCTTCCCCCCTCCCGGGTCACCCCTTCCTTGGGGTCCCCTGCCCGGCTGCACCCCCCTGCCCTGGGGCATTGGCCCGGCACGGCCCCGAAACGGAGCGGGGGGCAGCGCCGGTGCTTCCACCACCCCTTAGAGCCGGTCTCCATGGCCCGGGATGGGGACGCTTCCTCTTTCCCCGTGTGACCGTCCCGTGGGGCCCTGGACGTGGCCGCATCCCCCCGCATCCTGCAGCACGTGAGGGACACGAGCGCTGATTGCCCCTTCTCCTTCCCAGTCGCTGCTTTTCCTGGGCTTGGTGTCCGCCGTCTGCCTCGGCCTCAACCTCCTCTTCCTCACCGTGTACCTCATCTGCCTGTGCTGCTGCAAGAGGGACCGGGACCCCGAGACCAAGCGGCCCCACTCCTGCTGTGTCACCTGGATGGCCGTCACCGCGGGGCTCATCTGCTGGTGAGGATGGGGACGGGGACCCGGTGCTGTGTCCCCATCACGAGTTACTTTCATTAGCTCCACGCAATTAAACACAGCCCATCCCTGCCTCCATCCTCGCAGCCACCGATGCTGGGGTCCGGCCGCGGTCCAGCCCTGTCCCTGTCCCCACCGTGGCCGTGCCTCTTTCCCAGCTAATCCCAACCGGGAGCGGGGCCGGGCCGTTAATCCCAGCCCGGAGCAGATGGCGGGCGGCAGCGTGACCCAGCTGCCGGGTCCCGGCTGCTCCTGCCCTTAATTGCAACCGCAGCAATTAGCGAGGGGAGCCGGCAGCGTGCCGCCCGCTTCCCAAACCCATCTCGGGTTACGGCTGGGAGGGATCCCCCCATCCGCCGGCCTGAGGCGGGTGATGGGCTGGGACATGGGCCCTTCCACCAGGAGACAAAGGGGCTGCTGGGCGGAGCGAGGTGGCTGCCTGGAGCGTGGTGCGGAGCAGGGAAATGGCACCAAGGATCTTGGTGTGCTCGCTCCGGCTCCTCCAGCCTCGGGCACCCCACAGAGCATGGCAGGGGGGCCGGGGTGCCTGCGGGCAGGCAGCAAAAGAGCTTCCTGCAGCTCCCCAGGGGCTCTGAACCGATCCCGCAGCCGCACTGAGCCTGCTTCTGGATGCTAAAGGCTTAATTGTGGTGAATGGGTTCGAGTCTGTTGGGTTTATGGCGTTTGCCGTGGGGAGGGGGCACCGTGGGCATCGGCACATCCCTCCTGACTGCACCACGAGTGCTAAAGCACTCCCCACTGCGGTGCTGCCCCTGTCCCATCTCCTTTGGCTCTGCCCTGCCCGGGGTAAGGGGTCCCCCCAACACCAGGATGCTCCAGAGAGTGTCCCCGGTCCAGCCGGTGGCCCCACATCCTCCCTGCCCCATGTTGGGGTGAGCATTTCCCTCCCTCTAATCAGGGGTCCTCTCTCTGCCCACAGCGCAGCCGTCGGCATCGGCTTCTATGGGAACAGCGAGACCAACGATGGGGTGTACCAGCTGCTGTATGCCCTGGACCACGCCAACCACACACTGACCGGCATCGACTCACTGGTAGGGCCGTGGGGCCGGGTCCCCCCATCCAAACCCCTCCATGTCCCACAGGGTCACATCCCTCCTCCACCCTGGGCCTGGTTAAAGCACTGTGGAGGAGGAAGCATCCGGCTGGAGGGACCCAGGCTGAGCCCCAGGCAGCCGTGCCGTGCTGATCACAGGGTGACAGTGATGTCACCCTGCAAAATGGGCCCTTTGTGGCCGGGAAGGGCCGTGGGGGCCGTGGCAGGGCTGTCCAGAGGATGGATCCCGCTGGAGCACAGGGCTCTGATGTGGAGCTGCTGTCCTGGAGGGAGCATCCCATGGATCACACAACCACAGAGTGGTTTGGGTTGAAGGGAGCTTAAAGCACCTCCAGCCCCAACCCCTTCCACTGGAGCAGCTTGCTCCAAGCCCCTGTGTCCAGCCTGGCCTTGAGCACTGCCAGGGATGGGGTGTTGGGAAGCCCCGGTGGTACCAACCATCCCCATCCATCCCCATCCATCCCCATCCATCCCCAGGTAGCGGACACCACGCTGCAGATGCAGGTGGGCCTGGAGCAGCACCTGCAGCGCCTGAACGAGCTCCTTGCGGCGCGGGGGGACTACCTGCAGACCCTCAAGTTCCTGCAGCAGCTCTCGGGCAGCATCGTGCTGCAGCTCGCGGGGCTGCCCCTGTGGCGCGGGACCAGCACCGACCTCACCGCGCTCGCCGGCCACGTCGCCTACATCGAGTATTACCGGTGAGCGGGGCCACCGGTGGGGCTGGGGATGTGGTGGGGACACAGTGATGGAGCCTTTGTCTGCACCCAGGTGGCTGGCTTATCTGCTCTTCTTCATGCTGGTGCTCACCGTCTGCCTCCTGGCCTGCCTGGGGCTGGCCAAGCGCTCCCGATGCCTCCTCACCACGTGAGTACGGCGGTGCCGGGCTCGGCGGTGCCGGGAGCCGCATCCCTCCGCATCTCACCCCTGTCCCCGCAGGATGCTGTGCTGTGGGCTGCTCACCCTCATCCTCAGCTGGGCCTCCGTGGCTGTGGACACGGCAGCGGCGGTGGTGAGTGGGGCCAGGGCAGAGCCGGGGGGTGAGGGCACCCGTTGCCATCCTGCCCAGCATCAATGATGTCCCTCTTGTCCCCACAGGGCACCAGCGACTTCTGCGTGGCCCCAGATAAGTTCATCATGAACCAAACGGAGAGTGACATCAGCGCAGGTGAGAGCTGGTTGTGGGGTGGAGATAGGATACCCCAAAACCTGCTTGGGGACCCGGTGCCCTTCGATGCTGGGACGCTCGTACCAACATCTCCCATTTGCTTTGCAGAGGTGGTTCACTATTACCTGTACTGTGAGCAGGGCCTGAGCAACCCCTTCCAGCAGGTATGGGGGAGCCTTGCACCCCGCTTGGTACGGCAGGGGTGTCCCATGGGATGAACAGCTCTGTGACTGCCCCTGCTCCTCCTCGCAGGCTCTCACCGTCTTCCAGCGCTCGCTCACTACGATGCAGATCCAGATCCAGGGCCTGATCCAGTTTGCGCTGCCCACATTCCCAACAGCCGAGGTACCGGCTGTGGGGAGCCCCCTCTCTTCCCCCCTGCTCCCCATCCTGCTGCCCTGACCCCCCCATTCTCCCATAGAAAGACCTCCTCGGGGTGCAGCAGCTCCTCAACTCCTCAGAGACCAGTCTGCACCAGCTCACAGCCATGCTGGACTGCCGGGGGCTGCACAAGGTGAGCTGGGGGGGGATCAGGCTGGGGACTCGCATCTCCTGGGGTCCTCCTATTGCCACCAGCGCTGCCCTACCCCATCTCCTGCTGCAGGACTACCTGGATGCCCTCATTGGCATCTGCTACGATGGGGTGGAGGGGTTGCTCTACCTGGTTCTCTTCTCCTTGCTGGTGGCCGCCTCCTTCTCCACCATCATCTGCGCCACACCACGAGCGTGGAAGCTCTTCACTGGACGGTGGGTCTGCTGCAGCCCTGCCTGCACTGGGGACATGAGCTGGGCACGGGGGGAGCTGCCTTTGGGGCCGGTGGGGGGGATCATTGGTGCCTTGTCCCCGCAGGGACCGGGACTACGATGACATGGACGATGAGGACCCCTTCAACCCGCAGGCACGGCGCATCGCCAGCCACAACCCGGCACGGGGGCAGCTCCGCAGCTTCTGCAGCTACAGCAGCAGCCTGGGCAGCCAGA